CACATTGTGGAGGAGTTTTTATAAATTTCATTTATATAGAAAATTCAATTGACTTTGTAAATATCAAAACAGAAAAAAATTAAACAATGACACATAACTTAATTCAAAATGCATCTTTAAAAGCAACTTGTGCTAAGTATTGTTGCACTGAAAATTTAATTTGAATTGGAGTAAAAAAATTAATAATTTGGAAATTTAAGAGAGACCTTTTTGGGGAAAAACGGCACCGACTGTCTTCCTCCTCCCCAAAAACAGGTGGCCGCAAGCCTGCTGGAAATGCCGAGAAAGAGATCACAAGCCACGGTTCCCATGCCCTCGTAATATGTTGGCTTCTGACCTTGTCACTTTGACTTCCTGTGGGCCCAACAATCGTCAGCTCTGAGTTAATTGGTCGTCGGACAACCCTTGACAAGTGCCTGGCGAACCCAATTTATTTTCGGCTTGCATGCAATTAAATCACTTGATTTAAGATGTGCTTCAACTGCGAGCTGGACATGCACATTTAGAAAGGAATACAATTGACAAATATAGATGGTTATCAATAAATTAGAATCGTGCTTATTTAATTCAATAATTGTGTCTTTGCATAATATGAAGCGTAATTATTATTATCTCTTCATTAGTTCAAGATGATTCTGTATATATAGGTTTTTCAAGCCGTTAAATGAGGTTTAATAATTCAAATTTTAAGTTGTATTATAATTCTCGTTAATGAGCTCAAATCTTAACTGAAATAAGACTAAAATGCTTATTTTTCAAGCATAATTTTTGAAATTTGATAATACAAATATCGTAGCAAACAAAAATTTATTTTATCTTCTTTCAATGTCCATTCAGAGCGAATCTCCTGTGGTCGGTTTTCGTTCACATTTGAATAATGGGCCGGAGAAAATGCGAGCACCGTATGAATAAATGAGCCATGAATTTCGATCCCCGCCGCCGATCGGCGACATTTATTTTCAGCGCTGACAAGACCGAGAGAAATTAATCCAGCCGATGGCAGATTCCAACAAAGTCTCTCTCTTGACCGTTATTTTTTTCTCTGCTACGGGCAGGGGTGCATCTCTAATCACATGCACATTTCGTTTTTGCATGGATAATAAAATTCGTTTCATTCCCACAGTCGGGCGGAAAAAAGAATAAAGAGGGAGATTTAATATTCAGCAGCAAGTGGTCGGTCGGTCGGTGTGTCCAAATAAAAGTGACCCTCCGTTGTGAATTTTTATACATATATATGTGCGTTTTTCTTCCCGAAAAGTGTCTCCCAGTGCGGTGCATAAATTTCGTCCCCTGGGGGAGCGAGGGGCGTGAGTGGTCCAGCGGCCCAGAGAAGCTGCGGATGAGCAGTCTCTCGGCTGCTCACAAAGGCCCGATCGTCCCCTACTGCGAGAGTTGTCCACTATTTTGCGTCTCACCTGACGGGACAGCTGCTTGGAAATTCGATTTGTTGCGTCGTGTTACCAGAGGGAATAATCCAGAAAGAGGAGAAAACGCCGAATGTGACAGAATTAACAACAAAAGACGTATAAATGGGATGAAAAATAATACAAAAACAGTTTTATAATATTATTTTTATTTCAAATTGCTTTAAACAATTATAAATAAAATGTATAACTAACTGCAGAAAATGTTGCAAAGTTATTTTCACTGTTAAGCAAATAATTTGAATTCCTTTTTCTAAAATTTAATACGGAAGACTCAAAACGGGAAAAATATTGATATTTCAGGAATTAAAAAGCCTCTTTATAGAGTTTATTTGCATTAAAATAAGTTTCAAGTTATTTTCATTTGCCATAATAATCAGGGTTTTCCCCCAGAATAAAAAGGAAAAGTCCGAAATAAAATGATCAAAATTTAAAATTTGTTTTAAATTAAACAAACAATAATAGAGTTTAAAATGTTAAAAATTTCAAGTTTTAAACATTACAAAATCTATTATAGAGTTTGTGTCATAGGCTCAGTCAATATTATTTTATAATTTATTTTTCAAATTAATCAAATTAGTGTCTTGAATTAATGAATTTTAAAGTGTCATTAAGAAATATGGAGAAAATTTCATTAAATGTAAAAAGAAATGATTTTTTGTTTTCTCTCATATAATCTTCTAAACTGTTGAAGAACTTTCAATTTTTTTCTGACATTTTAAGAGCAAAAATAAACTATTTTTATAAAAAGGCATTGTTGCATTTTTTAAATTATATGCCTGCATAAATAATCTACAAGTCAGTTCTTCCAAACTCTAGTAGTTTTCATTGTTACGTATGAGAAGTTAAATGTCAAAGAGAAATGAGCCGAAGAGGTGATCGGAGTTAAATAAATACTTTATTGCTTCCTCCGCACTTTAATTGTGTTCTGATGCTAATGCTGCTCACTGGTCGGGTCTTGCGTTTGAATGACCATTAATCAGAGGATATACTCCACCAGGTCTGCAAGTTGCGGTTGCAGTGCAGGTGTCGTTTGATTATTTATAAATGACACTTGTCAATGAAAAGCTCATTTCGTTATTTTGCGTTGTTGCTGCACCTGCACGCATTGATTATAAATAAATACCAAAGCGGCCCATTAGGTCCCGAAGGCAGGCCAGACACAATAGAGACCGGCAAGTAAAAAAATGTGTTGTCGTTTATTTAATGACTTCATTTTTCCTTGGACAGGTTGAAAGTTAATTTTCAGGTAAACGGGTTTGATGTTAACTAACTTTTTAACACACAGAGCTCATGCATTTATTTACCAACTAAAGAATGAAATTGAGAAATATCAATTATGTTCAGAGAATAGTGGCAAAATTTATTAAAACTTGTTCGTTAGTGACCTATCCTAAATTCCCAGCAGGCTCTAAAGTTAATAGGAAATTTTTTTAATGAATTTATTTATTTATTTTGTTACTTGTAATTAATTTAATTAGCTAGGGTAATTATAAAAAGTTACAAACTAATTAAATAATGTGACCAATTTAGTCTTTAATTTCCTTTTATTTACTGCTGAAAACTAAGAATGCATTACATTGATTACGTTTTACTATTTTACAGACCTCTAGATTTCTTATACCATTCATTACACATTCTCCAAATTGTATTTTGATGTGATTAAATCAAATTCCGTTTAATTCCATTAACTAACTAAAATAGCAAAAAATTCTTAAAATTAAATTAAGTACAACAGAACCGCAAAGTTAAAAATATGTTAACTGATTTTTTTTTATCACTATTATACTCAAAATATTTTTTTACTATATACTTAACGTATAAATGAATATTTGAAACGTAAACGTTATTTTCCAATTTGGAAGTCCAATACCCAGCCAACTAATCAAGCACCAAGAACAGCTTTGACAAATTATATCCAAGCAGCATGTGGTGGTAATTTAACCTTAATCAAAAGGCTGTCAAAATGCCTTTGCGCACAATGCGAGGGCCGCGGCTGAAAAATGACGCTACTCGATATTAGTTGAAAGCTAATAGTAAAAAAATAATCTTTATACATTCACGTACGGTGCGCGAGAGAAGCCGGCGGCGGCTCGACTTCTTTGGAAACGCGCGTGTAATATTTGTGCGCATCAATCAAACACAAGGAGCAGAATATTTTTCTCATTAATGGCCAGCACATGGGTGGAAGGGAGCCCGGGCAGAAAAGTTTTGTGGCTGACGAGAATTATGGGCAGGACTCGGACTCGAAGGATGACCCTCCATCAATCCCCGAGATGGGATTCAGAGCCGTCCGGCTCTCTTTAATATTATACTGCTGACTACGGATCTATACATTTGGTGCAGGCGCTGGCTGAGCCGCAGAATTTATCAAGAGTCATCAAAGTGGCGGTTGACAGCAAAAGAATAAAAAAAACGGAAGAATAATCTTTAAAAATTATAATAGGATTTTCTATTTTTAACTTTTTTGAAGCAACTCTAATAACAAATAAAATTCAATTGTTTTTTTAATTTATATAAAAGCACCAAACGCAGCACAATAAAAATTGAACTCAAATAAAAGTTTACTAGGTTTCCTTTTATTTTAAAACAAACTATTTATAAGTTTTCCTTTTTGAACAACTTTAATAAGAACACCACTTTCTGTTTATGTCAAAAATTGAAATTTTACAACACGATTACTCTGTGTGAGTCAACCCCTAAATTGCGGTTCGGGCGCGCAGAGAGCAGATGATAAAATCTTTTAATGCGAGCGGTGCAGCCGGCGACGGCAGCCACGAAGAGAGCTCGCCTTTCTGCGTATTTGTCCGTGAATTATTAATGCGAGCCATTAGCATTTGGCTGCAAACCCTTCTGCCATGTACACGGACGGCAACCCGGCGAGCATCGCAGCTCCGTCGACTTATTAACGATTTTCTACTTTAACGGGGAGCAAAGCACACACACCGCTTCGTCGAGATGCTTTATGGCGAGCAATTACTCAAAAAGAGCATCCACCCAGGCAGCTAATTTCTCCCCGGCGCGCGAGGGGGTGCCATCACTGCAGCGAGGGTAAAAATGAAGAAGCCGCGCGCAAGATAATAGTAATTAAAAAATGAAAGTGTGTTGATGCAGTAGTTTTATCTGCGTCTCGCAGGCGCGAGTGAATTAATATGCTAATTGGCTGCTCTCGTTTTTGTCACCGAGCGAGCGAGAGTGAGTGAGACGAGCAGCTGCGGCCCTCGCCACACTTGTTTTTCTTTTAAATTATTAATTAGATCGTTTTATCTCGCTGGAAAACTCTCAAAACTGCTGTCATCGCCCTGCTCTTCTCTCGCCTGAAAGGTGCTAAAAGAGCCGGTGCCAAATCCAAGCTTTATTATATGGCGAGAAAAAATTCAATTCGCTTTTAGAGGCTGATTTTCTGCTTCTTTTCAAACGTATACATGGAGAAATGTGTGTATTATTAGTTCTTAAATCTTATAAATAGATTAAATTATTAAGGTTTTATTCCCATTTTAATTAATGCAAGTAAATATTTTAAAATTTGTATGGAATAATTTTAAACCCTGCTGGTTTGCAATTTTATTTATTTATTTCAAATCTAGCTCTTTTCACCAACCTAAGTATTTGTTCCATTGAAATTTTATTTTAAAAATTTGCAGGTAAAGTAATTTTATGAAGCACGGAAAAGTTTTTTCCTTCGATAATAAGTAACATTTTTTTAATTATTATTATTATTGTTTTTTCTTATTTTTTTCAATCGTTACAGGATAATTAATTACATTTATATACCTTCTTCTAAAATTGATGACAAAGAATATTTTCAATGAACAGAGGGCACTTTATTTCCTAAAAAAAGATAGGATCATTTGTCATTGCTTAATGTTAGAATTTATCTTGAAATTTGTTGCAATAACTGTATTTTCTTAGCATGGCAATTCTACTTAACTTAATCTCATTTAATTTTATCTAAGATTTTTCACAAATGAAGTAAAGAATAGCAGCACAATTCTGGCGATATAGCTTTCCAGATCGCCCGTGCAATTCAACGCATTGAAGTTCGTTACTCCTGCCCTTATTATCTGGATTCCACAATTTCTCATCAACTACTTTGCCACTGTCCCAGTAAAATAGGCCATGGCTGTAGGCATAGTGAGCTCCAACCCAATAGTTTACTAAGTTTGAAAAATTATAAGTAAAAATAGTTTTGTATTATTTTTTAACGCTCACCTGTCTTGTCTGGTAATGCTGCAACCACCTCACGAAGTTTTTCCTCAGTTTCAATAAAAACTAAATGCATCCGTTGGGCATCGCATTGTGCCTTTGCAGAAGCTCTATTCTGAAATTTTGATTTTTAAAAGGAGTATTAATTTGTAATTATCATTATTTTTAATCACATACACCTCCTGCAGTAAGATTAAAATTAAATTTTTGGTTGGTCAACACCTTCGTTGCTTTCGTCACGTCGTTGGCCACAGCAGGTGTGGGAACTTTTAACAAAAGCGTCATCAAAATAAATGAAAAATTAAGATAGCAACTAGTTACCTTTGCACTCTAGCCTATTGCTGAGCTGCAATTTAATTGTATTTTAAATTTTCGTTTTGTAAAATCGTTAGAGTTTTTTTTACCATTGTGAAAAGACTCTCAATTCGCAGTTCTCTGACGCTGACGTTCCTCTCATAAATTTCCATTCTTGATTCCAACACCGAAATCTTAGACTGCAGTTGCGATACAAGCAAAATACTGGACGAAATTTGTGTTCGCAGCGTTTCACTTATGAGGCAAAAATTTGTCAATTCCTGATCAAATAAATGCTCCTGTTTGACGCAAAAGACGACAATATTGTGAAAGGAATTCTCATTTAAAGCTAAACAAAACCTGTTCCTCTGCGCCAGAAACCAAACCCATATCAATGTATAAAGTTAGAGTGGCGAACAGAAAAATAAATGCAGATGTCTTCATTTTAGCAGTGCTGACTTCAAACTGCAGTGCCAAAATAAACTTCCCTTCCTCGCACTGTCCAAATATCCAATTGACCTGTCTGAAGAAACAATTGCCAGATCAATTGTGACCCGATCTTATCAATAGCAAATAATTTATCTGGTCTCGAGTGTGTAACCTTTCCAAGCACCGCAATTAAGCAGAGGTTTGTCAAAGCATGTCAAGCGCTGCTTTAAATTTTCCACCGCTAATTGGCGTACTGGTATGCGTTGCATGTGCATTTTTCACAACAGAAGCAGCAAACAATAGAAAGGGTTGTGTTTTATTTGTCCAGAGAGACAATGGTGCCGTAAATATGCACGCCAGCCCGGGTCTGACTGAGCAAAATTATCTCGCTGTTTGTCCATAAACTGCCTCTAATTAAGTAAGAGTTTCACATAAAAGTTTTATCGGTGGTTTCAAGATTGATTACCATTGAGGAATATCATGAAAAAATAAGGAGGTAAAAATAATGAAATTTTTTTTATAAATTTTGATTATCCATTAATATATCACTTAATTAACAAGAACTCTCATAATTTAGAACAATTAGTAAAGTTTATAACAATTGATATTATTATTATTTTTTTAAGTTAAAAAAATCACGTTTTTAATTTTTTCATATTAGCAATACACTATTTTAAATATTTGGCTCAATAATTAATTGATCAATTTACAACTACTATTAATGTTATTTTAAGCTACTTTTTATTCAATTAAATAGAACTGAAACGTATCCTTTAGGTAAATTTTGAATGTGTGTCTGTATTTATCTGCCACTCTCACCGATCTCCCTTCTTTTTTAGTGGTGCAAAAGGGTGGCAAAACGGGCACTCAATTGCGATAAAACCCCGCTCTCTCGCCGGCCGCTCGCGAGAGAGTGCTGCCAAGGGTAAACTTTTTGGATAAAGTGGCCACTTTGCGCGCAGCGATGGAGACATAAAAAAATGAAGGCCATATTTCATGTGCGTGTGTCAGCGCGCACCGCCAACGAGAGCAATAAAAAGCAGCGGCGAGATATCAACTGATTTGGTATTCCATTCACTCAGCAAATCAATCGGAATCAACATAAATTTCGTCCACGCACATCTCTTCCGATCCTGATGAAATGTATTTTTTTTTCGTTCCGGGGAACACAAGGGACGACAACAAACCACAGAGAGAGAAACGTCTGTGACAGATGTTGCTGTTTTTTATTCTCTGGCCGACTTGCTGTTTGTGTGTAAATTTGGTGTCGAGTGTCAAAAAGGGAAGACAGCAGTGACCAACCAAATATCAGCAGAAATTCAAATCCGTGTTTTACACACCATCCTCTGTGACATATATGCGGTGGTGAAAAAGCCCTTTTAGATTTTTTTTCAATTCTCTCTAGAAAACATAAAAAACATTGTGACTTGCGGATCTCTGTTTAGATCAAAATTTTCAACCCAAAATGTTTGTGAAAATATTTATCGACTTAAATAAATCGTGTTTTTAGAATTTTGAACTATACTTTATTTTATATTGATAATCTAATTTAGGGTTACAAATCGTTTTGCAAAATTATAATTAAACAAAATACTTTTGAATTGATAAAATCTGCAAATACCTTTTGGAAAAACAATGCCGTCATAATTTTAGAGCAAAAGGCTAATCAAAATAATTCTACCAATGATAATTTTATTTAACATTTTAATTGTAATTTTCACAAATACGTTTTTAAAAATTTTTGCTTTTTCTTGGGGCTAAAAATTTATAAATTTAGTCATATAAATAAGGAAACTGAAGCGTTGGCGTACGGATGCTTCAGGCTCCAGATGGAGGTTGAGACATTTTTTTACATAATTAAAAAGTTTCTCACGCCTGAATAATTATCCGGGTTTCGGCGAGAAGGAAGTAGTAAAAGGGAAGGAAGACATGCGTGCGTGCTTTAATTCCGTATGTGGAAACTCTTTTTCCGCGAGCGGGCGCGGATGTATCTCTTTGAATCGGGGCTCATCTCACGCAAGATCTGCCCCGCGCGGCACTCAAGGGGTGCAGCGCAGATTTTGTCGTTTTCATAGTTGGAGAGAAAGAAAGAGTGAAAGAGAGAAGACCGCAAAGCAGACAGATAGCCGGGCTGCCACGCGACAGCGTGAGAACTTCCGGGCCCACGACGAAATTAAGAGTAAGAGTTTAAGTGAGAGATAACACACCAGGGCAGTGTAAAATGCAACCATGTTTTAGTAAAGTATTATCCTAAATTATAATTTTTGTTGAAATACACATTTTGTTTTTAAATTTTATTGTTTTCAGGGCAAATTTTCATATTTAATTGGGTAGAAGGCCTGTAAAGCATTAACTTTTCAGCACTTTTAACTAATTTATCATAAAGGATTCAACTTTTCCTCAAAATTATTCCATTTTGTGTAAATATTTTTCAATTTTACAATTGATTTTGATGAAAATTATAATATCTTTAAGGAATTCTGAAAATTTGATGATTCTTTTATTTTTCAATTAACACTCCCCTTTCAAATGATGAATAAATGAGCGCGGGAGGTGCGCGTAAAGTAGGCAGCCGCCGTAAGCTCATCTTCCTGTCTGGTGGCACAGGTCAAGCCTTAATGATATGCATCACGCGCGGCACTCTCGGCACTACTCTTGAGGCACTTCCTTCCTCCACCCGCTGTTATTTTTTTCCTTCTCGGCGCTCCTCAGATCCGCAATCACATGGGAAGGCTGCATCCGAATCAGCAAAAATCAGAGCGTCTCAATTGCGTTAGACTCGATTCATTAAGTTTTATTGCGCGAATTCGATTTCGATCCGCCACCGAGGTCGCGCCGTCAAATTCGATTGCGAATCACTCTCTTACGAGTGCGAGGGGTGGGTTTAAAAATTGGTGTTAGGGTGGCGAGGATTTTGTTCTACATCCGAACAAACATTTCATCCTTACTCTCCTACGAAACGACATCAAATAGTAATTAATTTTTTTGCTGCTGTTCAATAAATATTTTTTTTTTAAATATTTTTAATATCACATTTTGAAAAAGTAATAAAATTACATAAAAAAACCCAATAATCTTTTGAAACAAAGTGAATTTAAAAAAAACGCACTCTCATTTTACTATGAAATTTATGTCCTATGATCTACTAAAAAAATCATCATTAGAATTAATTTTCAAATCAACTTTGACGAGGATGAACAAGGCTGAGTGCAATTTTACGTCCGGCAAAGCTGAAACTAACGAGGGTAGCCTGTCGTCGTCGCAATTTGCTGCCAACGTAATTTTCTCTCTCTTGTTTTTGGCCGGGGCGCCTGCAATAAAACTCGATTTTGGTTAATTAGCCGCAAGAATTCGTTTCACCACCCCTGTCTACGATCCGCTGAAACGACGCAGACTTACTTGTTGGCTTAGGGGGCGATTAAGACGTTTGGGTCTTGAGAAGGGAGAAACTGCGAGACGCACATGTGTGCCTATATATGAGAAAGTTTTTATGCTTCTCTAGAAAACCAAGTAAATGGTATAAACGTTCACGTTTTCCACAAAAATAACTATTCTGATATATCTGCTCATATTTTTTTTTAATCCAGCAGAGAAATTCCCAGTTTAAATCACATGATTCAAGGTTGAAAATTAAAGTTTCATAAATTTAGTAAGGAGATTGCTGTGTAAATCAGAAGATACCTGATTTTTTAGCGGTGATCGGACATGGGCTTTTTATAATAGTTAATTAATACAGATTTGGTGTTTCTCTTGTTTGTAAGTGATCTTTTGTTTTAAATAGGTAGTTCATTTATTTTGACTTCCAATGCTATAAAACTATACAAATGGTGTCTTTTAAATATTTCATTTCTTTATGTTTTGGCCAATACTGGCAATATTTTTGCTCCTCGACTTGATCAATAAAATATTTATATTTTATTTGTTATTCTTTCAAGTCATTACAAAAAAAAAATTGGGAAACTAGAATAATAATCTATTGAAGTGAATTAAAAATTTGATAAAAGTTTTATTTTTGAATTTTTGTTTTTATTTTTTTTAGCTTAGTCCAAAATTAAAAGTAATTTTTTGCCTCATTGGTGTTGAATATTTAAACCACTGCTAAACATGACTTGGTGAAAAATTTATTTAGTTGTGTTTATAAAAAATACTCTTATCTATCTAAACATGACTTTGTGGGAGATTTATTAAAATTTGTACGTCTCTCTGAATCAAAGTGGAGCGCGGTGCTCGGTTTCGATTCGGGGGTCACCGAGTGAGCACCAGAAGCTGCGCGACTGCTCTTGCGGTGCGCTATTGGCTGGGTCGCGTTCTCCACGCGAGTCGTAAATTCGTCCGCGAGCAAGGCGCTAATGGCGCGAGCTATTTGCGTGTGACGACGATCCGCGACCCACGTCACCGCGAGAGTTCATTTCGCGAAGGAGGAGTCGCGCAAAGGTCTTGCCCTTTTGGAGGCGGAGCTCGATCGCACCCAGTTTGTAGAACATCATACCGATCATAAGTAACGCGAGCGCCTGAGATGAGGTTAATTGAGTAACAATAAAATGGGATGAGAGCAGTGTCTGAATCTAGTATAGTTAAATTTTTGATTATAAGAATTTTTTATTTAATATATTTAAGCAATTTATTAATTCTAGTTTTTATTTTAAATTTTCTTTTATTTATTTTGATCTTTCAATTTTATAGAATTAAACTTCAAATTTTATTTTATTTAGGTAACTTACTATGTAAAACTCTATTATGGTAATTACATTATGGTTTTTTAAATTTATATTGCACCGCAGCTGGTCTATTCACTTAATACAATATGGTTTGCTCTTAGCAATACAAAACTCTATGCTCTTGGAAGAGTTTTGTTCCAATGAAATCAACCGCAATAATTACACTAATAAGACATAAATGAATTAATTACATGATCTTTATTTTACTTTTAAATTTCTTCCACTTTATTAATTTGATGCGTTTCTTTTTATTTGCCAACATAATATTAAATTAATAAAAATCTCTGAGATGGACAAGGTGGACTTCAATAAT